ATTAATGCTGTCCCCTCTATACACAGGGTAGATAGGGATGGGCAACTTAAGACATTGGCTACCCAAAATGAGGGGACAATAAAGGCACCAAGTGACTGGCTTACAAGGTTTCAAGAGGGAGTACTGTTTAAGCGTATGGAGGAGAAGAAAGAGTCCCCACTGGATCATTTTTATCTTGTCTAGCTGGGTCTGGGGGATAAGATTAGTATGATTTTCAATAGTGAATAATTGTCATCATGACTAATTGCGACTGTCATAATTGTAAGGGTAGAAGTTCTGTAATAAAAAAAGGGGAGTGGTTAATCTTACAGTCCAGAAACGGAGGGCCCTAGGACCATCAAGGGAGAAGAGCACAAGCAGAATGCGGGACCTTATCCAGAGATGGAGGCAGAGATGGGGACATGGAGAGAGGGAGCAGCTGAGGACTCTAGATTCATGGGAAGAGAGGGACTCAAGAGCTGGTGGCCAGGAGTCTAACTTACAGCATGAGCCCTTTAGAGATGTAAATTATTATATATGCTTGAGTGTTGTTGTTTAAAAAAAAAAAAAAAAAAAAAAGCTAATGTGAGAGAAACACTGTTAACTGATATACATGGAGGGGATTATAATCATTATAATGAAACAAGGTGTATGATTTGTTGAATGTAAAACTGATGATCTGCCCTGTAAACTTTCACTCAATCCACAATAAAAACCTTAAATAAAAAAGAAAAATAGGTGAAAGTAACTTAAAAAACAAATTCTATCATGCCGTCTCCAGCATGGTTTCTTTCACTGAGATCATAGTTTCCTACTGATCCTTCCTCTTTTCAACCTTTGCATTCCAATTGCCAGTAATTATAAATACATCTTGATTACATATTTGATTAATTTCAGACTGAAGAAGTTGGTAGAATTTTTCTATTTCATTATCACTGGCATTAGTGGTTAGTGCGTCAATTTGATTAATAGTTGTATTACCTGGTCTTCCTTGTAGGTGGATGGATATTCTACTGCCACAGACAGTATTGTACATTTCAAGACAGACCTTGAAATGTTCTTTTTGATGATGAATATGACGCCATTCCTCTTTGTCATTCCCACCATAGTAAACCATGTGATTATCAGATTCAAAATGG